TTTTATGCAATTAAAACACCTTCTTCTGAGAAAGGTCCATAAGCTTCACCAGACTGTCACAGGAGACCATGTATAACACATGCAAAACATTATGAGAACTCTTTCATTCTACATATTCTTCAACCCTTCAAGATTCTGTGATTTCATTAGTTTGAACACTTCCCCTACAGAGTCATATTGTAACCTCACAAAACTTTACTCAAGAATCCTTGTGTGATTAGAAAGAGAAAAAGAATAAGAAAAAAAAATACCAGCTGGTATCTAAATATTTGGTGACGTAGCTTTCTAAATATAGCTAAGCTGGTCCTCAGATGAATCATGTAGCCCATAACTGGACCTTCTTTTATAGCTCTGTCCCTCCTAAAAGATAGCTACCCTTATGATATGATGAAGAATCAAAGCAGATTGAAAATCTTGTGCTCTATTACTATGTTATACAGGATCATTGTGCCATATCAAAATATCTTTATATCAATTCACTAATAGATTAATTGGATTTTTAAAAAATTCTTATCAAGGCAGAACTTTTGTGCTCCTGCATTTCTATAGCTAGTTATTTCACATTGTTAGAATACCATATTATTGAGAAAAAGTATATATATTTGATTCTTATGAGAATCAGTCACACTATTCTTTGGTTACATGACACTTTTCTAGCTCTAGCCAGCCATCTTGAGGCCAATGGAGAGACTAAATGAGATAGTATACACTAAGTGCAACCTCAGTATTACTTGGAAAAACAAATAACAATTTAAAGCCAATACATCCTGCAGTAATAGTATTATCTCCTTAGTTGAATAGCAGATATAATTTCCCCTGTATTGTTCTCACAACTCTCTCTCTCTCTCTCTCTCTCTCTCTCTCTCTCTCTCTCTCTCTCTCTCTCTCTCTCTCTTTCTCTGTGTGTGTGTCCCTCTCTCTCTCCTCTGTGTGTGTGTGTGTGTGTGTGTGTGTGTGTGTGTGTGTGTGTTTAATGAGATGCTGTTCTTAAGGTTTTGAGAAAGGCCTCCTTCAATATTGGGTTAACATTCTTTGTCAAGATTAAAGAAGACGTCATACTGAATTGCTCAGGATGGCCAGGTATAGATAGTTTGCCATCTGTATCATTAGATGGAATGCCCACATTGATGAAATAACAGATCCGTTTAAGTATTTGAACTGGGGGAGGAAAGGAGTTGGCTTTCCTTCAGTCAACACAATGTATTTTTAGTAATAAAGTACTTAATGGAAACCACAATATAATGTACCATTTTGTCAAGAATTTAAATATTTATTCTTTAAATTTTAATTTGTATTATTTATTAAATGAGTGTTTCATAACTATCTCCTGTCCCGTCCACAATGGGATAAAAGAAGCTATGATAGATCGAGGTGCACATGGTCACAATGCAGGATTTCTAATCGACATCTAGTCTTCTTGCTTTCTAATCATTAGCTTTCCTTCTCAGAATTATTGTTTGTTTTTTTCAGTTCTACAGTTACTATTGTTTTTGTTCTTCCTTGGATGATTTGGAGTCATATGACATATGTAAATCCAGAATGGGAAAGGACTTCAGAGTAAATCACTTTATTTTATAAATGAGAAAATTTAGACCTAGGGAAGATAGTAACTTTCCCAAATTGACATAGGTAGTGACTGAGGAACAACCTGAACCCACATCCTGTGATACCAGAGTTAAGGTCCCTGTTCTCCTTTTCAGACATGTGTAATGATAATAGAGTTTCCCCTAGAGGTTATGTCTATACCCTTGATTGTAGAAGTCTTTTTAAAATAATCTGATTGTGACTTTTGATTAAACTGATCAGTGACTGATGCCATAATCTATGCAACTACAATCTGAATCTCTGCCAATGATGCTCACCAAAAACCAAAAAGAAAAATCATTCATTGATTTCAGTTTATTTTGCTCCTGTACTCTGCAAGCCTGGTGTGTTTGCCCTGATGAAGACGTTCCATCGATATTCTTTAGTTGTAGCATTAAGAGTTTAACATTGCAGTAAAAGAGAATATGTGTGTTGTGTATGTATGTTATTGTTTTCTTGAGAAAGATCATAATGTTTCAAGGACAGCCTTTTTTATATGACTGCCATATATTTCCATTTTCTAGTTTTTTTTAATTTTGAGCACCATGTAAAAAATATTTTCAGGTAGTTCTTCCTAGAATGCAGTAGTTATTTGGCAATGCTGCTTTGTCCTGCAATGTTTTAGTAACCATTCCTTAAGAGGGTTGCCCTTTTCTTTTGGAGGTGACATGATTTTAGTAGTCTATTAGGGTTTTACAAATAGATAGAACTTGAATAGTGTGTTCTTTTTAAATATAGAAATGCATATGAATGTGAGTAACTCTAAAAAACCAATATTCCTTTGAAAACCCTTAGAAATTTTTTCTTATTGTTAGCTTTAGATTACCACCAATATGAGAGAATCTTTAGGAGGTGAACCATGGCCAGGAATCATTCACTTATTCTAGTCATTTTCTTTTTTCTTTCCTTACATGACACCTCATAAGTCAATTGAGTGAACTACAGCAAGAAGCATATAGTCTATCTTACAGAGACTACTATAATCAAACTGCTGTTTTCAGAGAACTATCGAGAACAGCCTCAGGCATCCCAATGGGACCATGTCATATCTTGATTGATAAAACACCATAAAATACTACAAAGGGAAGTTGTAGAGTCTATAATTCTAGAAGTAGCCAAAAAAGGAACTATACAACCATTTGTCTTGGTTGGTTTAAGTTTTCGCCTACCTTTAGCAGGGAATTAAACTAGATTATAGATCATTGTATCTCTATACTTCTATTCACTCTGAGGAGGCAGGAGAAGAGTGGCCTAGATAGCAGAAGAACATGCAAGAAAATTCACTGCCATTACTCACCAACAAAAATCCTCTGAAGCTCTTCTCTCCCCAAATTCATGTGAATAGGAAATTTTAACATTTAAAGTTTTGATTCCTTTGAAGGAATCCTGGATATTTACTGTTAGCTATCCTCTAGTTCATTGTAGAAAATTCCCACATATCTATGATGATATACCATTATCAGCACAGTTCAAATCAAATGGGATTTTATAGGATTATGGTGGATGTTCAGTATTATTTTTGTAAGAGAAGATTGTGGGAAAAGTTTCATCTAGAATTTACCTTTCTTAATATTTAAAGCTTTAATTATAGTATCTGTAAGTAAAGTATCTATAAGAAATCAGCTTAAGTTCTTTGCAGCTCAGTTCTTTTACTAAACAGTATAGAAGAGAAGGGAATGTATCTTAACTAGAGAAAAGTGAATTTTAAAAGTTACCAAGTAGAAACTCCCCAAATTTAATCTAAAAAAAAGTTTTCATTTTTCCTATCCCCAGAAACCTGAGAATCCTCAAAAGTTTTTAGTTAGGGAAATAAAAAGTTGATAAACCTTAATGATGAATCTTAAAATTATTAATCAAGACATACAAATAATACATTTTAAGGTAGATGGAAAAGAACTTGAGAGAATCCAGAGGACCGTGACCAAGATAGTGAAAGTAATGACATGTGAGAATGGGATGAAAGAAGTGCAAATTTTTGTCCTGCAGAAGAGAAGATTTAGGGGAAAAATGATTTCAATTTTCAAATATTTGAATGACTGTCATATGAAAGAGGTATTCAACTTCTACTTGGCCAGAGATGACAAAATTGCAAGTAATGGGTTAAAATCACAGGGTGACAATCTTAAAATAATAAAATTTGGAAATGGAATAGAGCTTAAAGGCTATCCAGTTCAACTCCGTGCCACCTTGATTTGAAAGATCTGGAAACCAAAGCCCAGAAAAGTAAACATGGCTTACCCAACACTGCAGTGGTAGTAAGACCTGAATCAGGATTCATTCTCAGGTCCTTTGACACTAGAGCTAACACTCAGTTCACTGCACTGAGCTAACTCATAAGGAACAAGAAAATCTAACAATTAGAGCATTTTAAAAGTAGAATAGTCTACTTCAGAAAAACAATGGGTAATTAAAGACTTTGGAACAAATATTGAATAAGCAGTAGTCAAATACATTTAAGTAGAGGTTAATGGCTGCTGGGGTATTTTTTGATTATGAGTTTCTGTTATCTATGACACCTTGTGAGTTGATTATAACTGATAGTTATTCATTCATGTTGTTTATGCCAAGCAGAAAGAATGATTGTTTTATCTATTTTCTTTCCTTTTGTCTATCCCATTTGGCTTTCTGAGGATGAGATTTTGTTCATCTATTGAATTTCAGGTGTAATGATTCTTGCAGTTTTCTCAAATGCTTGGATTCAGCTCATTCAGCTCTCTTTATTTCAATCATTACTACTCAGAATCACTTTTTAAAGTTTTAGATTTAAACTGACCATTTATTTAACTTTTTTTGCGTGATTTTGTAGGATAGGATAATTGATCAACTTGTCATTAAGTATCTATTAAGCATGTATTATGTTCCATGTCCTGTACAGAGTCACAGGGATAAATTCTAAGTATCACTATTACTTTCATTATTGTATATGAGGTTCCCTCCATTGAAGCTTTAATTTAATGCTTCATTGTAACATGGAAGTAACCCTGAGTCATCAAAGGCTGTGCCAATGAATTTCAAGGTCTTGACAATCTGGAAAGGCTTCAAGTGCAGGTTCAGTGTGGAATATACATCTGCAGTCTGAAGGGATGCTTATTGTCAGAAAGTTGGGTACCAGGTGATGATTTATTTGTGGTCCCAAAAAAATCATGTCTACCAATGGAAGTACAGAGTGACTATATTCTGCATCAGTAGCAAGGATACCCACACAGATGAAGAAGTCATGGAATTTTGAAGAATTAATGTTTTTAATATATGAAAGACAGAATAGCTAGCTTGTGAATCAGGCAGGTTGATAAAAAGAAATATTTTATAATTTTAGGTTTTTAGCATTTGTAACTTGATTAAAATATGAAAGCTGAGAATGACCTTGAGCAGAGGGCCTGTGTATTTGCTGAGATAAATTTTTGTTTGGTTTCTAGGACCAGTGGTTTTGGCGGGTGAGGAACAACAGAGTGATGGATGGATACCCCATGCAAATTACTTATTTCTGGCGGGGATTGCCTCCAAGTATTGACGCAGTATATGAAAACAGTGATGGAAATTTTGTCTTTTTTAAAGGTAAGAATGATTAATATCAGGCTGATTGAAATGTAAAATGGAATTTTAATAAATCTTTGGAAAATGTGTGTGTGTACATATACATATATGTGCACACATATACTTGAAACTACATATATATGTGTATACTAATTGTTCCAGTTGGTGAGAAACCTCCTTTAACCACAGCAAATCAGTAACTGTTCTACAATTTAAATCTTAGGGAGTTCTGAATTTCATATATATGTTATATATTATGTAATATGTAGTTTTACATAATATTTATATATTATGTATGCATTATATATAATATATATAATATATATAATGTATAACACACATATATATGTATGCACACATATATAGCTATATGTACACGTGTGTGTGTGTGTGTGTGTGTGTGTGTGTGTGTGTGTGTGTGTATACACACACGGTATGATATAATTAAAAGAGCACTTTGTGGTAAGAGAATACAATGCAATGAGCAATGGATTTGGAGTCAGAAGACCTGACTCCAAGAATCTTATCCTTTCACTAACTTTATGACCATGGGGGTAAGTCATTTAACATCTCTCAAGCTCAGGTTACCTAACTTTAAAATGAACATTATTGAAATGAATGACCCCATTACTTAGCATCAGAAGACCTAGGTTCAATTTCAAGTTCTGTCATTTTCTAGTTATAAGACTTCAGGAAACTGTGTCTGTTTTCTTATCTTTCCAGTTCTAATAGTCTAGGATCCTATGAGCTTTAGAATGGAGACAATAATGTCTGCCTCTCCTGCTTCATTAGCTTGATGTGCTAATCAGATGAGATAATGTATATGTACAGTGCTTTTTAAATTGTAATATACTACTTACCTACAAGTTACTATTATAAACACTGATACTATAATAATGTGATTGTTCCTTTATCCCATCCACTTCAATACAGTGGAGTGAATGGCTGTGAATTGTCTGGTGAAATTGTGAAAAGTCATTTAATATTGGTCCCAGATGGGTTGTATAATTTGAAATATCAAATACATTTGAACTCAATAGAAATTGTCAGCTCATCTCTCCATGCTGTGATGTCTTTAATTGTATTGCGCATTTCTGATGTGTGCATAGTTCTACAGCCAGAAAAATATGAATATGACCTAATAGTATAAAAAACAAAAATGATTACTATATTGGTAGGGGTTATAGAAATCTTTGTGTGGTGTTTGGATTAACTTTGTAAGTGAGATTTGTTTCACTTTATTTTTAAATATAATCCTCTGATTTTACAATTAAAATTATACTGTAATTTTCAAATTTTTATTTTAAAAGCACAGAAAAATGTTAATAGAAGTCCTTTTAAACAAAGATTATCTAGGGGAAAAAGTACTCCTGTCAAAGCAACAAAAATCTCTGAAAATTAATCAACAGTGCTATAGTGGAGCAAGTATTGGATTTGTAAGTAGAAGTGGGTTTTAGGTATGGATTTGACACTGGTTGTAGGAGGTGATTTCACTGCATTATTGTTAACAATATATGTCTGCAGATATATACATGTACATATGTATGTATAAATCAACTGATATTCATTAAGTGCTGACAATGTACCAAGCATTGTGCTAGAGGCTAGGCATATGAGTACAAAGAATGAAATAATCTTTACTCACAATAAGTCTACGTTGTAATAACAGATATCAGACACATAAAGGTATCCAGCAAAAATATAAAGTGAATAGGTGGTTAGGTGAGTATAGTTTATATGAAGAACACAAGCAGTTAGGAGGAGGTAATCAATAAAGGATTGATGAAGGAGGTTTTACTTGAACTGCATCTCAAAGAAAGATTTATGAAGTAGAAGTAAGGAAGGAGGGTTTGCCTAGCATCTGAGGTAGCTGGTGCTAAGGCACAGAGACAAAAGATAATGTTGTATGTGAGAAAAAGAGAGAAGGCCAGTTTGGCTGGAACTCTGAGTGCAGGAGAGAGAGTAATGTCCAAAGAAAAGTAAGGGGCAAATTGTGAACTGTTTTAAAAGCTAAACAAAAGAGTTTATATTTTGCTATGGAGGAAATAGGAAGCCCCTTCATTGATTGTGTAGGGGAGTGACATTGTCAGATCTCTACTTAAAGAAAATTACTTTGGCAGCAGCATAGAGGGTGGGTTGGCAAGAATAAGAGAAACCATTTATGAGGCGGTTTCAATAATCTAAGTGAGGGGTCTTGAGACCTCTAATTAAGACAGTAGGAATATAAATAGAGAAAAGGGTTTAGAAGTGAGAATTTTGGTAAAGATAGACATAACAAAATTTAGTGGACTAAAGTGAGGAGCTGAGAAGTAATGCTAAAGTTATGAACCTGGGCCACTAGAAGGACAATGATGTATTTGACATAAATAGTGGAATTTGGAGGAGAGTTGGTAACAAGTTATTTTGCATACATTGAATTTGTGATGTGTCTGAGATATCCAGTGTTAAATATCCAATAGCTGATTCAGGAATGAAAATGAGGGAAGAAACTGAGACTCTCTGTGTCTGTTTATCAATACATATACATATGCCATGAAGTCATATACTACTTAGAAGATTCAATAACAACATTGCATGTATATACAGTTATGTGTGTATATATTGTTTATGTATGTGTATATATGCATAGTCATACACACATTGTATATGTGAATCATTTGCATTAATATGATAGCTAAATCCATGGGAGATAATGAAGTTAACAAGAGAGAGTATGTATGGAAGGAGAAGATGAATTCCTCAGACAGAATTATGTGGAACCTCACAGTAAGATGGTATAATATAGATGATGCTTTCAAAAGAGTGAATTCATAAATGAGTGAATGAATGAATGGTGAGTATACCAAGTTAGATATCCAAGTCAGGAATATAGTCTGAAACAGGTAATGAATGGGTTTTACTTCTCAACTCTTCTATTTTAGTATAGAAATCATTATCTTTTCCCCCAATCTGCCCTTTTAAAATTTCTCTATTGCATTTAATGTAATCATCCTTCCACTCACCCAGATTAGCAACCTTGTTATTTTCAAGTGTTCTCTTTCGCTTACCGCACATATTCCCTCTCTCCCCCGAGGTTCAGTCCTGGATCACTAACTGCCCGTTGCACACTTCAAACTGGATGTCCTGGAGACATCTTAAAATCAACATGTCTAAAACTGAACTTACAATTTTCCTACCTACACCCTCCCTACTTCCAAAATTCCCTATTTCTGTCAAAGGTGTCATCATCCTTCCAGTGTCTCATGTTCATAATTATGGCATTATCCTCAATTTCTCACTGCACATGACTAATCAGTGCTTTCATATCTCTCATAGTCAATACCTTGTCTTTACTCACACAGCTACCAACTTACTTCAGGCCTTCTTCACCTCTCATCTAGATTATTCAAACAGTTTCACAATTTATCTCCCTGTCTTAATTCTCTCTCACTCCACTACCAATGGCTGCCAAAGTAATTTTCCATGAACGCAAAAATGGCACTCTTCCAGGCAACCAACTCCGATTTATCCTTACAGCCTCATTGGACATTACTTCCCCTCACACACTTTGATTTCCAACCAAACTGTCCTTTCTATTCTTTGCACACCAGCACTTTATGTCCATAACTTTACACTGACTCTCCCCTATGCCAGGAATGCGTTCCCTCCTTATTTCTGTACCATATGCAGCTTGGGCACAATCTTCTTCAAAAGGCTTTCCTGATCCTTTAACTGCTAGTGCCCTCTCTCCCAAACTACCTTATATTTAATTATTTTGTGAATAGTTTATGCATACATATATGTGTATTTGTGAACTCTCTCTCTCTGTGTATATATGTGTGTGTATGTACATATGTGTATGTATGTGTGTATACATACACACATATACATATATGAAGAGAGGGAGAGAGATTATTTCATTCTTCAAGCCTGTGTACCCAGCAATTAGTACAGTAACTGGCACGAAGAAATGACTGATTGATTGATTGATTCAACAAGCTGCCAAGTCTTATAATTTCTTTCTCTAAAACACCTTTTGAACATATCTCCTCTTTATTCACATAGCCACAATTCTAGTTCAGGCCCTCATTGCCTCTCAAGTGACCTATTGTAAAAGCCTTCTAGCTAGATTCTCTGCTTCATTTCTACCCACTCTAAATCATCCTTCTTATCACTGCCAAAGTGATTTTCCTAAAATATAGGTGTGACCATGTCAAATCTCCCCCCGCTCAACATCCAGTGGATCTCTTTTACCTATGTTTAGGTTCAAATATAAACTCCTCTTTTGGGAATTTAATTTTCTTCACAATCTGCCCCCCAATCTTACCCATGTTTTAATACATCATTTCTTTCTTTGCCTTCCACAGTCTGCCTGTAATTATTTACTCACTGCTCCTCATGTATGCTGTTCTGCCTCCTATTTCCTTGTATTTATGCTGGCATGTCTACCATACTTTCCCATATAGCCTTTGCCCTTTCTAAATTCTGGTTTCCTTTAAGATTCAGTTGAAGCATTATCATCTATAGGAGATCTTTCCTAGTCCTCCCAAATTTTACTACCTTCACCTCTAAGCTGATCGTCAAGCTATTCTGTGTTTGCTTTGTATTTATTTATATTTATATCATACCCATCATTAGAATATAAGCTCCTTGAGAACAGGGTTTATTTTTTCTATTTCTTTGTATCATTGTTGTTTTTCCCAGCCCCTAGAACATGGTCAATGCTTAATGAATTTTCATTGATTGATGACCACTGAGGTACTGGAGTAACATAAAGGAAAGATGAGTTCATCTAATGACTTTATCGCACCAAATGGCATTACTGCTCATGCAAAGCCTAACACATCAGTCACAACACATTATACTAAGTGAAACCTTATCCCTCTTTCTAATCCACCTTGTACTTTTAACGTTCTGCCCATGTCTAGTTCACGGGGGATATATGTGGGCTACATACTCAGGTCTGATCTCCTCTTTTTGTCCTCTTGGTACAAGGTAATGTTTTATTACCATCTTGTGAATTGTTTCTTGAGGCCAGATGC